ACCTTGGCAACTTTAAGACCTGTGGACTTCAACTCCCAGAGTTCCTCAGCCACTGCAACCTTGGCAACTTTAAGACCTGTGGACTTCAACTCCCAGAGTTCCTCAGCCACTGCAACCTTGGCAACTTTAAGACCTGTGGACTTCAACTCCCAGAGTTCCTCAGCCAGCAAAGCTGGGAGGTTTGAAGTCCACAGGTCTTAAAGTTGCCAAGGTTGGAGACCATTGCTTTAGAGCGCTCCACTTCGCAGCTCTGTGGCTGAGAATTCTGCTAGCGGAAGTCCATCAAACGAACTTTGATATTTGGCTTGAACAGCTTCCAGCTTTTCTTCCTGCTAATTGGAAAATATCGAAACTTGCACGCTATGTTGTGACCTCGAATTGGCTTGCAATCGGATTTATTATTCTTTTCACGACTGCGAGGGCTTCAATAGGAAAAGGGGACAAAACGAGGGGGACAAGGCAGAGCTCGATGCGTGTTTTTTTTCGTGGGAAAATCCTATCAGGCGTTTAGGGCGGGAGGAGCCCGGGAATCGCAGGACCTGGAGGAGAATTCTGATCGAGGGCGGTAGGGAAGGGAAAGGAAGGGAAGAGTGTCGTCAGGCGGAAGTTTCTTCTGTGCGCCTCGCAAGCAGCAGCCATCGCCCTACTCACTTTTGCACCAGATCAGGGCCGACTTTTCACTCTCGGGCAGATCTAGGCGGTGCCTTGTTCGCTCCTCCCCGTCTTTGCGGGAAAAGAAGCGACGCGCCACGTGGGCTCGCTTAAAGGCTCGTCGCCTAAGGTCGATCGAATCGATCAGGTGCTGATGTCAGTGGCGTCCCTGCTTCCCGATTTCCCCCTCGCAGCGCTGCAGCGCCACTTTTCACGTGCACCACCCACTCCGCCGATTCAGAACAGAAGCTTCTCAATCTATCCGGTCGTAGCTGTCGAAGAGGATGATTCCTTTTTTGTGTGTTTTTGTTTAATTAAAACAATACAACTTTTCATAAAAAAAAGAGGCACTAGAAACACAATCGCTTGCCGTTTTAAAGTTTAACGGATGTATTAAAGATTTTTTTAAAAACATTGGGGGAGAGGAGTTAATATGGTAATGTTAATATTCTGGTTAAAGCTTGTATTAAAATAGCGGGTGCTTCGGGAGAGTCTGAAAGTGAAACTATATCTTGCCCCCCCCCACTCGCCTTTTTGGGCACAATTGAAAGGCTAGTGGTGGGGGGGGGGATAGAAATGTGTTCGATTTCCCTCTCATCCAGACTTTTAAATGTAACTGGAAAGTCAGTAGATAACATCAGTTCTCATTCTCAATTCAGCTTCAGGAACATTGAGGAGCGGTTAAGGCATTGGCCAAGCATGCGGCTGGGGCATTCTGGGAATTGAAGTCCACACATCTTCAAAAGTTGCTGAGGTTGAGAAACACTGGGTTAAAGTGTCAAAATTCAGAACTTAAACTGCAATCACCTGGTGATTCTAGATTGTGCTGGAACTATTTCTTGAATCCCCAGAGTTCTAGTCTTTCTGGAAGGCACTGATGCAAGAAATGTCCTTCTGGGTTCAGCTCCATGTGGGGAAAAAGACATTGGAGACATGGAG